GGTAACTATTGAAAGATATGAATTTAGTGCCATTGTATTGCCTGTAAGGTGACTGTTACTGTATATTGTCTCTGTTCCTTTCTGGTTACTTTTAGGCTCTCTCTTTGCTTAGAGGACCCCTTTCAATATTTCTTGTGGGGGTGGTTTGGTGTTCACAAATTCTTTTAGTTTTTGTTTGTCCTGGAAGCTTTTTATCTCTCTTTCTATTTTCAATGACAGCCTACCTAGATATAGTATTTTTGGCTGCATATTTTTTCATTTAGTGCCCTGAATATATCATGCCAGTCCTTTCTGGCCTGCTAGGTCTCTGTGGATAGGTCTGCTGCCAATCTAATGTTTCTACCATTGTAGGTTACAGACCTCTTGTCCCGAGCTGCTTTAAGGAGTTTCTCTTCCTGTCTGAGACTTGTGAGTTTTACTATTAGATGTTGGGGTGTTGACCTATTTTTATTGATTTTGAGGGGGGGTTCCTTGTGCCTCCTGGTTTTGATGCCTGTTTCCTTCCCCAAATTAGGGAAGTTCTCTGCTATAATTTGCTCCAATATACCTTCTGCCCCCCTCTCTCTTTCTTCTTCTCTGGGATCCCAATTATTCTAATATTGTTTTGTCTTACAGTATCATTTATCTCTTGAATTCTCCCCTCAGGATCCAGTAGTTGTTTATATCTCTTTTTCTCAGCTTCTTTATTCTCCACCATTTGGTCTTCTATATCACTAATTCTCTCTTCTGCCTCATTTATCCTAGCAGTTAGAGCCCAATTTTTTATTGCAGCTCATTAATAGCCTTTTTGATTTCAACTTGGTTAGATTTTAGTTCTTTTATTTCTCCAGAAAGGGATTCTTTAGTATCTTGTGTTTTTTTTCAAGCCCAGCTAGTATCTTTATAATCATCATTCTGAACTCTAATTCCAACATCATACTAATGTCTATTGATTAGGTCCCTGGCAGTCAGTACTGCCTCTTGTTCTTTTTTTTGAGGTGAGTTGTTCCGTTTTGTCATTTTGTCCAGAGAAGAATAGATGAATGAGAGAACAAAATGCTAAAAAGGGAACAACGACCACAGAAAAATATACACTAAACAAATCAGAAGAGACCCGAAACCAGGGGGTAAAAGGAAAAAGAAAAAAGAATATGATCAGGCTGGTGAATAGAACAGAGCCATACACTAGATTTTGGGTGTATTTTGGTCTGTTAGAAGAAACTGCCTCCCAAAATTTTAAAGAAAGAAAAACTTACATATGTACAAAAATAAGGGTAAATACAAGGAAGGGATGGAATATGACTGTAAAGATGAAAATTAAAAAAGATTTTAAGAAAGGAATTGATAAGAAGTTGGTTGAAAAGAGAAGAAAAAAAAATTTTTTTTAAGAAGGAGAGAATGTGATCAGGCAGAACAAAGCCATACACTAGATTTAGGGTATATTTTGGTCTGTTAGGAGAAACTGTATTCCAAAATTTTAAAGAAAGAAAAACTTGTATATACACAAAACATAAGGTTAAATACAATGAAGGGATAGAATATGGCTGTAAAAATGAAAATTAATAAAGGCTTTAAAAAAGGAATTGATAAGATGTTGGTTGAAAAAGAAGAAGATTTCAATAAAAAAAGAAATAGAAAAAGAAAAAAATAATGAAAATTAAGAAAATTAACTTTGAAAGACTAAAGAATCATGGGAAAAGCCATGAATTCTATGTGCTGTATCCCCCTAGTGTTGGAGTTTTGCAGTTCTCATTGATTGGTAAACTTGGTCTTGGCTGGATGTTCTTGCTGATCTTCTGGGGGAAGGGCCTGTTGCAGTGATTCTCAGATGTCTTTGCCTGAGGCAGAATTGCACTGCCCTTGCCAGGGGCCAGGCTAAGTAATCTGCTCGGGTTTGCTCTCAGTAGCTTTTGTTCCCTGAAAGCTTTCCCTACAGCTTTAGAGGACAAGAACATAAAACAGACCCTTGTTCTTAATCCAGTAATTTATAGAAGAGTTGGGTATTTCACAGAGCTATATAGACTTTTTTTCTTTTTTAGAGAGAGAGCGTGCACACATATATGCATGCAAGCAGAGGTGGGAGTGGGGACAGAGGGAAAAGAAGAGAGAAAATCTTATGCAGGCTCTGCACCCAGCAAGAGCCCAAGGCAAGGCTTGATCTCACAATCTTGAGATCATGACTTGAGCTGAAATAGAGTCCAATGCTCAACTGACTGAGCCACCCAGGTGCCCTGAGCTATATAGATTTCCCATTAAAAAAACTTACATGTGTTGGTATTTTCAGCCTCCCACCAACTAATAATGGGTGAAAGTTACTGTATGTCAGCTCTCTGTTATCTGTCCATTTGTTTATCCTTTCATAGGCAGTCCAGCGCAAACCAATCCATAAAGTAGCCTCCATATCCGGAAGCAAGGATGTAATAAAATCTGTCAAAAAGAGATTTTTTTTTTAAAGCATTTGACTTATTCAAATTAAAGATACACTAAAAATGTCACTGAATACCTCTTGCTTACCTACAAAGATACTCTTTCGCCTATTCTGTAACAAAGTAGTTTAATAAGATTTTTTTAATATGCTAATTCCCCAAAGCCTCTCAGAACTACCTTGGTCCCCAGATCAGAATAATACATGTTTCCAAAACAATTCCGTTACCTTGTTCTCTCTGGCTCAGCACTGAAGGAAGGGTGCCACCATATGTGCGACAAGTATCACTCGCTTGGGAAAATGTGAGAGACTTTGGTTTGATTTTTAGAAAACACTGCAAACAAAAAACATATATGAAGCATAAGATTCCAGACACAGGAAAGCTCACATAGGAAGTAAATACCTCATGTTTTAGAGGGCTGTTAATTTTTGGTCTGTGAGATATGGAAATTAACAAAGTAGTACTATACAAATGCAGATCTACACTCTCAATATAAACAACTAAGGAGTGGTCTATTAGTCAAACTATTTTTTTAAAAAAATCTCCCATTTACTGCTTCCTATGTGCTAAACAGTTTGCACAATACTATCTCATTTAATTCTCACAACAAATGGGGAAACCGAGGCACAGGGCAGTTGAGTAACTTCACCTATAGGTAAAATAGCCAGACAGTGGTATTGTCAGCACTTAGATTCTGTTCCATCTGATTTCAAAGGCTGTACTCGTAATCATCACCTCCTTATATAAAAACACACATTTAAAAAAAAAATCATCCCCCCTTTTTTTATTATGTTCAAATAGCCAGCATATAGTCCTTCATTAGTTTTTGATGTAGTATTCAATGACTCATTAGTTGCATATGACACCCAGTGCTCATCACCATATGTGCTCTCCTTAATACCCATCACCTGGTTACTCCATCCCCCCACCCTCATCCCCCTTTCTTTGGGTAGGATATTTTAATTCAAATTTACATCAACTATGTAAATTAATTTAGTCCCAGTATCTTTGGAGGGAAAAAAAGATTGTTCTAATTTTATTTTTTTATTTTTTTATAATATTTGTATTTTTTTAAATAGTTTATTTATTTATTTGACAGAGAGACACAGTGAGAGAGGGAACACAAGCAGGGGGAGTGGGAGAGGGAGAAGCAGGCTTCCTGCTGAGCAGGGAGCCTGATGTGGGGCTCGATCCCAGGACCCTGGGATCATGACCTGAGCTGAAGGCAGATGCTTAACGACTGAGCAACCAAGGTGCCCCAAGATTGTTCTAATTTTAAAAAGCCAAAATACGTCCTTACTATTTTAGCTTCAGTGCAGATGCTTTCAGTTGTCAGACACGTATCTTCCTTTTTCTTTTCAATATGATGATCATGTTAGTGTGGATTGATACACCCTAAATAGTGTTCTTTGAACCATTCTACAAAATACTTTTTTTCAGCCTCCTTAGAGACTAGAGTGGCCAATGAGCTATATGTCACTGGGTGGCTTCTAGAAAAGACTCTAGACAGAACACCCTGAACTTGAGCTTGGAAGCTTTATTATGTTAAAGATGACAGAGCAAAAAGAAAAAAGGAGCCTGGATTTGAAGATGTGGTGGAGCTTCCATACCAGCCCCAGCCCACTTACCATCAAACGTCTTTTGTGTGAGAGAATAGATGTTTTAACATAGTATAGCAATCTCTTACTTAGCAGCCAAATGCATTTCCAAAGAGATAAATATACCAATATGGATTATGCATTTCAAAGACACAGATACAGAATGTAGCATTTCCCAAATCTATTTAATCATTAAACACCCTTGAAGGCAAGATCAATGATTAACATTTTGTTAGCATATGTGTAGTGTAGAGCCCCCAAAATAGTTTGGGAAATGCTGGTCTAATTTTTTTTTTTTTTACAATTCACAGCGCTCACCACAGCACACACCCTCCCCAATGTCCATCACCCCAGCTACCCCATCCCTCCCACTCCCCTCCATTCCAGCAACCTTCAGTTTGTTTCCTGAGATTAAGAGTCTCTTATGGTTTGTCTCCCTCTCTGGTTTTGTCTTGTTTCATTTTTCCCTCCCTTCCGCTATGATCCTCTGCCTTGTATGTCAAATTTCACATATCAGTGAGATCATATGATACATGTCTTTCTCTGATTGACTTATTTCATTTAGCATAATACCCCCTAGTTCCATCCACGTCATTGCAAATGGAAAGATTTCATTTTTTGATGGCTGCATAATATTCCATTGTACATATTTACTACATCTTCTTTATCCATTCATCTGTTGATGGACATTTAGGCTCTTTACATAGTTTGGCTATTGTGGACATTGCTGCTATAAACATTGGGGTGCACGTGCCCCTTCGGATCACTACATTTGTATCTTTGGGATTAAAATGGATGAAAGACCTAAATGTGAGACAGGAATCCATCAAAATCCTTGAGGAGAACACAGGCAGCAACCTCTTTGACCTCAGCCACAGCAATGCTGGTCTAATTTAATTGGTAGATGCTGCCTGAATGCTTTCTTTCAAGTGGAAAATATATCAGCCAGAAATTGTCAGTTTCCTTCATGCTATAGAGATAGTTTTATTATTTAAAGTATTATAATCCATTGACCAACCAACTTCAGCAATTTAAGTTTACTAGCACAGAATAGGAACACAGTACTTTGAAAGACCTGTAGGCATGACTAATTTGAGAGCTAACCTGGTTTCTGGCACTGTAGAGGATCAGGTGAGTTACTGAAATATGCAGAGGCTTTCTTAGTGAAGTTATCTGATGGGCTGCAATTCTGCCACAGGCCATACAACCATCATGAAAGCAATCATCATTTGTACAAGGTAGCAATTCTCTTTTTACCTTATTCTGAAAAGTAATCCAATCCCCAGAGCACTGTATTTTAGCTGCAGAATCTGGACTGTATTTTTCTAATGAAGAGACATTATATTTTTCACAGATGAAGGGCAACTTGGTACCACAGTCTGCTGGTTTATTTAAGTCTGAGAAATGAAAAGCAAGATTACAGGGGTGAGAATTTTCTGTTCAGCACATTTTAAAAACAATCCAGTAGTAAAGAAAATATCTTTCAATCGATCTTTCCCAAACAGTTAAAATATATTCCTTTTTTACTCTAGCCATTTCTATTTTCTGTCATTACTCTTATCAGTAGGCTATAGCATACCAGCATTGCCTATAAAAATGCACACATTTGGTGGAAGGACCACAGTTACCACCACAGTTCCTGATGGTGGGAAATAGGTTGAAAGCAAAGCCTAACGAAGGGAAAAGAGACCTAGACTATATTTAGAATTGCTACCTGTTTATCTTTGCAAATTTGTCTATATGCTTATCAGTGATGAAAGTGGTAAGTTTATTTCTAAGCAACTGTGCAGGATAAAGGAAGTCAAAATATTCACAGTGAAAAGCACCTCTATTTGTATTTGGAATTTGAGCCATGGTCATTAGCAATAAGCCAAAAGAAGATGAAGCAACCAAACGTATAATCAAAAGGAAAGCAAGGGTAAGCTAGTAATTGAACCTGAAGTTCACACATTACATAATCAACATTAAAGGATTTGGAATTAATTTACCGCTAAACCAAGTCTTGGCAGACATGCACAGGCATTCCTCCCGAAATGTTATAGGAAAGTGAAGCCATGGATATCGTGAGCTGAAAGAAAATGAGAGATTTCACAGCTCATAACGTAGTTATATGTTCTATTCTGTCTTCTACTGTAATTTTAACTCTAAATTTAATGTTACGCCATTACTTTATACCACTTTTTTCTTGATGCTAATATGCAAAAGGACTTGGTTTCTGTAGTCCATGCAGTTTATGGATTAATGTTCAAAACAGATTATAAATAGCATTTTCTAAAGGGGAATTTGGGACTGCTTCTTTCCAATGCCTTTACGAAGGCAACATCAATGGTGTCACATACTACATAGAACGACGACGGTCTGCCGGCTGCTCAGCGGTTCTCACCCACCACTTCTGTTCATCACTAGATATCTGAAAAACAAACCAACCAACCAACAAAATCACCCATGCTTATATGTGCTCAGTTTTCTGAAAGAGTTTTCATTTAAATAGCCAGTCCCACCATAACCACAACCACTAAAATTTCCAGACATTCCATGACTTCGGTCTCTAAATTATCAGGTCCTTTCATCAAAGAAGCAGCTGAAAACTCTTCGTATAACACTATGCGCTATTTTGCATACAGAAAATAGGGTCACTGTAGTTATAGGCATACGTTAATTGGGTATATAGTGTTCTATTGCAAATAATTATAAATTTAAAAACATAAAATTATTTTTCCTACAAAAAGCTATTTTACAAAGTTAGTTATTAGAAGAAACAAAATCTAGTACAAAATTTAACAAAGAATTAGAATATTTTATATTATCTATTTGTGCTCATTTTATAAATTGACATTTATAATTAATCTTGAATATTTTAAAACATGCAGTTCTATTTAACTTTTCTAACATGAAACGATGAATTTGGATGTTGTTAGGCAAATTTTACTTGAAAGGAACATTTAACTTTTGTAGATTTTGGCAAGATTTCTGAAATCATTTTTAATGGAATAAATATCAAAATAAGAAAGATTTTAAATATATTCTCTCAAATTACATTTGCTATTTTGTTTTTGATGGCTTTTAATCCTGCAAGAGATGTCAATGTAGCCAGAGAGCTGTGATTGCTAGCACAATACAGGACAGCTTCTTCATAGTTTAAGTGAGGATCAGCAACAAACCAATATTCACTCCCTTCAATTACAACCGGAGGTCCATGAATTCCAGCACGCTCTAAAGAAAAAGAATATTGGAGTTATGCACAGATCAAACTGCACCTTCTAAGCATGAATTAATGTTCAAAACTATTTATAAATCCATTTAGATTATTGGCTCTCTCTGGCCAGGGCAGTGCTGCTTGCCAAGCACCAAGGATTGCTGAGCCAGAGACTTTGCCATCCTCCTGTACTCACGGGGGAACAAATCCAGCCCCAAAGCCTCATTCCACACCAGCCAATCACCTTTCCTGCCTGGAGGTATTTCATCTCCCTTGAAGATGTGATAGAGAAGCTGGCACTTAGGCCTGGGCTTAAATAATTAACTAAGTACATTACTGAAAAGGTAGAAGCAGTTTGGCCAAGTTTCAGATTTCTTAACTTACCTGGATTGTACCAGTCTGGTGTTTTTGGAGTACGGCCTGTATAAGAAAGAAAGCAAAAGGCTCAAGATTAGTATCCAATTACAGATAATGTCATACTATAAGTAAGTGCCTTTAATCTAACTCAAGAGCACTTGCAGGATTGCTGAGTTCTACCATTTCTGGCCAAACCATTTCCTTTCATATTATGATTGCTTCAGTTTGAATTTTGTGGGGCCTAAGCTAAAGCTGCTTTAGTGGCAATCAAAAAGGCAGATCTGTTAACTATTAAAGTATTCCTACCAGTTTTCTATCTTATATCACGGAAGCCACAAAGGAAGACTAGATGGATAAAATATGGCTAATAATTAGAAAGTATAAATAAGTAAATGAGTATATTATATACATTACATAGAAGCACTAAGGAATAGGCACCAAATAATCATCACTGCAGGATGAGGTTATTCAGGAACTACTTTTCCATCTAATGCAATTTGAATAATTGTTCTATAAACCTGGGTCAGTAGAGTTCATTGTCCCCCAAGGCATCCTTGTAAACAATGTACAGTAATAGAGTATTGAAACTTTCGAGGAGATGAGAGACAAAACTGGGAGAAAAATAATAAAAATCACCCAGAATTCTTCATCAGAAACAGAGAAAATATGTACTTTACAAAGAATTATGGGCCCTGAAGTTGGGTGGGTCAGGGTCCAAATGCCCCCAGACCTTCACTGCTGTGGGACTTTGGATCAGCTGCTTAGCTCCCTGAGACTCAGCTCTCTACTCTATAAAAAAAACAAGACTCCACTACCTAACTCACAACGACTGTGAAAATCACTTTAAGGCTGCCTCAACAGAAGCACCCAGACAATTCCAGGGCTGAGCAGCTCCCCTCTTCCACAAGGATGCTAGTTGCTTTCCTCTCCCTTTTCATTCTGGTTGTAGGTCATACTGGTTTCAAGGCAAAGACATAGTTTGATGACTATTAGAAATTACAGGGTAAAATAGCTATTCTTAATTTTGCTGTTGTCTGGGCCTACTGCAGAGAAGACCCTCCTCAGAGGACTGCCTATATATCCAACATCTTTGGTTTCTCTCTATGAGTCAGCTCTTTGTATATTGGATGATTTCTATCAACAATGGGTTAAATCAGTTAAAAATATGCATAGTTTCTTGTTTGTAATCTTGTCAAAAACTTCTGTTCAGACACATGAAAAAATGCTCAACATCACTCGGCATCAGGGAAATACAAATTAAAAACACAATGAGATACCACCTCACACCAGTCAGAATGGCTAAAATTAACAAGTCAGGAAACAAAAGATCTTGGCAAGGATGTGGAGAAAGGGGAACCGTCCTACACTATTGGTGGGAATGCAAACTGGTGCAGCCACTCTGGAAAATAGTATCTATGATCCAGCAATTACACTACTAGGTATTTATCCAAAGGATACAAAAATAGTGATTCAAAGGAGCACCTGCACCCTACTGTTTATAACAGCAATGTCCACAGTAGCCAAAATATGGAAAGAGCCCGAGGTCCATTGACAGATTAATGGATAAAGAAGATGTGGTATGTATATATATGGCATTGGTATTGCATATATGGTATTATATATATATATATATATATCTTATATATATGTAATATATATATAATGGAATATTACTCAGTCATCAAAAGAACGAAATCTCATCATCTGCAACAACGTAGAGCCAGAGTGTATTATGCTAAGTCAAAGAAGTCAGTGAGAGAAAGACAAATACCATATGATTTCACTCATATGTGGAATTTAAGAAACAAAACAGGTGAACATAGGCGAAGGGAAGGAAAAATAAGATAAAAAACAGAGTGGGAGGCAAACCATAAGAGATTCTTAACTGTAGGGAACAAATTGAGGGTTGCTGGAGAGGAGGTGGGTGGGGGAATGGGGTAACTGGGTGATGGGCATTAAGGAGGGCACTTGAGGTAATGAGTACTACGTGTTATATGCAAATGATGAATCACTAAATTCTACCCCTGAAACTAATAATGCACTATATGTTAACTAAATTGAATTTAAATAAAAAATTAAAAACATCTGTTCATTTGTTTTTTGGACGAACCTATGTCTAATCTTGAAATTTCTTTAAATTAGTGAGAAAAACAGAGTGCAAGGTTGGTTTTTTTTTTCACAAGCTTATGTATGTGTGTACAAGGTATCAAGAAATATAAAAACAGTTGTGTTTGGATAGTGGTGTTATAGGTGATTTTCCTAAAAATATTTTTATAAGCCTTATTTTTGATAGTGTTTTTCAATGAAAAATATAATTTTAAAATTATATATATCTATAGTGGTTATGGCTATTTAAAAATTATAGCTTGTCAGAACATCCCTTTTAGAGAAGAGAACTAATTAGAACCAATTGGGTCAGGTAATAAAAAAGGCAAATACTCTGGTTTCTCTCCAGATCATATGAATCTTTTGTCTTTTTTAAAAAGGCAAGAGCTAGAGAAAAAGTATAGTGATTTAGGCTACTGAAGAAGTAAACTGCTTTCAGAAAACCAGAAAAATACAGATTAATACAGAAATATCCAATTGAGCAGACTCTGGAGGTTCTACTAACTAAATATCCAGCTACGTGAATGTGACACATTGTAACTTAGAATTTAGGGACTATCAAAGGGGAGTTTACATAACCTTTAAACTCTGGATCAAACAATCATTGACAGCTTCAAACAACTGTGAACAGGCTGAGACAGGAAGTACTTTAGTTTTAAAATTTTGTTTCTGCACAGGGACAGCAGGGGTGCAATTATTTAGAAGATCTATTTAGTTAGTTAATAGATTTAAGTTTGCTAAGTTAGTTAATTCCCTTCTTTTTCATTTAAAATGAAAAAATACATAAAAAGAAAAAAAGACAACCACATGCTCTTCGGAATATTTCCTGTGGTTACTGGTTTGTAATTTCTATGGTTATGCTGGTGTGAACTCTTGGGTCTGCCCCACCACTCAAACAGGAGCCATGGGGGTGGGGTGGCAGCTACCGTGTGAGGGCGCACTTTGGAGGGAGCAATGACACTCTCTGTGCCATGTTAGCAAACACCAAAGACTAATGGGAACATCACCATTACTGCTTCAAATCAGAGACATTATCCAAATTAGCTATTATGTTAGTTACTCCCTGCTTGTTTAAAGGGAACCCAAACTGGTTTCCCTTTGTTCCTTTTAGGTTTCATCAAATAATCAGAAATAACTGAGGTATAATTTCTCCCTTAGAAAAACCTCACACACACACACACACACTTTCCTCTTTTATTAATGGCCTGCCAGTTGCCTTTGTGAAAGAGACTTACCAGTTACTGTGTTGGATATCATGTCTTTTAAAGGCAATATGGTGGTGACCTTTTTAAGGAAAAAGAACAATCTTCTAATAGGTAGTTGCATGAAGGAAACCTCTGCGTTCTTTGAGAGCTTAGAGGAGGATATACATTTAGTTTCAATGATCTACATTTGGCTCAGAAATTTAGTTTAGAGCTTTCTGTGCATTTACCACTAATTAATTTAATATATCCAATAAAATTATTTAAAATTATTAAGAAATAATTTGGCTGTTAAAAATCTTAACATTTTCCTTAATATTTCTTTAACATTTTCCTAGTAACAAGCTAAGTAAAATGGTATCTCTTTATTCTCCTTTCTCTCCTTTTTATCACCAAAGCCTCTACTATCAAGCTAACTGGTTTCTTGAATTTGAATTTGAATTCCATAAACTACTACCAGTTTTGGAGTTCAGGGCAAATTGCTTCTACATGTTACAGAGACCTGCCAAATTTTGATTTCTTGACTTTTGCCTCATTTTCCCCAAGCTTATCTTCATTTTGCATCAAAATAAAAATTGAAATGATTCCCTCCACTATGTGTCTTCTTTTAGTTGAAATAATCTTTCATTCCAAAATCTAATCTCTCTAAATTCATCTTAAATTTTATCTTCTATACAAATTCTTTCATGATCAAAGAGGAAAGTACCATCTAATCTCAATAAACCAGCCTTGTACTTGGGGTAGGAGTCAGGCAGGATGGAGTTTAATGTATTAACTACATCTTCATAGGCTTTTTAAAGTTATAGACTAAAATGCTCTCTTAGGTACTTTAGGCTTGGCATTTATAATGTTCACATGAGAAGATTGTGAAAAGGAATAACTACCACTTACCTTTTGGAATCTGGCATACCCATTCAAGTTTTGTATCACAAGCAAAAGGTCTTAAGTAAATAAATTCTCTGTCATCATAGAAATACCAGCTTCTTCGCCCTGGACTTTGAGTGACCTAAAGGAGGAAGAGGATTGAAGAATATTTTGAAGTTGATGCAGCTTTATAAAACCTTAAAGTGTAAGCCCTATAGTCTTTAATCTATTTTAGCCCTAGCACCCAAGACATTTGTTTATGAATGAACACAGTGTTTAAATAGTTAACAGCCTAATCAAGAATCTTCAAAGGGGCTGATACAGGAAATATATCATAAAGTCATGTTTATATCCAAAATGTAAATTATTGGGTTTTTTTTTTCTGTTTTTGCTGATATGAAATTATAGATTGCATCTTTAAATTTGAGAAAGGTCAACCTAAAAAAAAAAAAATGTTTACTTCAGTGGCTTCCCAACACCAGATTTTGATTAAAGCAGATCTGTGAAAATGGGACATAAGAGTCTGACATCAAGGGCCAGGTTCCTGCTCTGGTGTTGCTCTGCACTGCTAGGATGTTAACCTCCTCTGCGTGATCCGAGATAGCTCTCTACAAACCCCAGCCAGTAAGCAGGCAAGAGAGGAAACGGGAGGGCATGACCTAGGAGGAATCTCCATCACTTTTTGGTCTGTTTTCTCTCTCTCTCTCTTTTTTTTTTATTATGTTATGTTAATCACCATACATTACATTATTAGTTTTTGATGTAGTGTTCCGTGATTCATTGTTTGTGCATAACACCCAGTGCTCCATTCTATACATGCCCTCTTTAATACCCATCACCAGGCTAACCCATTCCCCCACACCCCTCCCCTCTAGAACCCTCAGTTTGTTTCTGAGACTCCATAGTCTCTTGTGGTTCATCTTCCCCTCCGATTCCCCCCCCTTCATTTTTCCCTTCCTACTATCTTCTTCTTCTTCTTCTTTTTTTTTTTTTTTTACATATAATGTATTATTTGTTTCAGAGGCAAAGGTCTGTGATTCAACAGTCTTACACAATTCACAGCGCTCACCATAGCACACACCCTCCCCAATGTCTGTCATCCAGCCACCCCATCCCTCCCACCCCACACCACTCCAGCAACCCTCAGTTTGTTTCCTGAGATTAAGAATTCCTCGTATCAGTGAGGTCATATGAGACATGTCTTTCTCTGATTGACTTACTTCGCTCAGCAACCGACAGAATGGGAGAAGATATTTGCAAATGACATATCAGATAAAGGGCTGGTCTGTTTTCTCTTAAGGCCAAGATTCTGGTGGGTATTAAGGGGAGATTCTCCTTCTAGAACACTGCCCTGGCTGGCCTTGTTCCTGACATAAGCTGCATCAGTGTCTCTTTTATTTAGCTTTTCTTTTTTTTTTTTGGTAGATTTTCTAATCTCTTTACACATAAGAACTCTATTTACATAGAACATAGTTTTTGCATCAGTGTTCTGGAAACCTTACAAACTTCTCTAAGTTTTCGCCTTCTCATGTGTTAAGCCGAGAATTCTATAAAAATGGCATGATACTATGCAGTTTATTACTAGAACAATTGCTTTGAAAATAGTGCTTTCCAGTGGGCTTCTCAGTTCTTTGTCTCAAGCTTCCTGCAGCATTTCTGAACAATCACTCTCTTGAATCTCTTTCTTGGGCTTGCATAGCAAAGATATAATCTATGTGTCTCCTACTTCCTCATCTTACATTTTATGCATTGACAGTTCTCCTAAATCCACTTTTGGTCCTTTGCACTTTTTTTTTAATATACATTTTTCCTTCAACTCTGGTCTTTTGATTTCAACTTACTATAGGATATTTCTTACTACTAGCTTGAATTCAAAATATCTAAATAAAATGTAGTATTTTCTCCATAAACCAGTACCCTTTCTATTTCTAGAAACACCTAGTCATACAGCAGGGTAGACCCAGACACGTGGGTTTAAATTTCAGTTCTGTAATCATGTATACTTAGAACTCAAATTTCTTCCTCAAAAGATGAATTTGTACCTCACAAGGTCATGTAAGTACTAAGTGAAATAATAAGTACCTAGCTCATGAGTTAACAAGTGTTAGCTGATGCCACCATCAACACCATTACCAGTGTTAATCATCATCATTACCTCCCATAACACTCTTGTTCTTGTATAAAACTTATACCTCACCTGTCATAGCTCCTGTAATTGCTTGTTTACCTATCTCCTACTAGACGTAAGTTCTGTGAAGACAACTGTTTTACACCTTGTTTTTGGTGTATCCCACAGAGCATCACAGACTGCTTGGACTACTTTACGGAATCAGTAACTGAATGAATTTTGCAAAGGAACATGCCTAACTGTTCTTTTATGTCTTCTGGTCCTATTTGCTGCATCTTGAAATCTGACTTAAGATGAATCTTCTTCCTACCCTCCTTGGTTCATGTCAAAAACTTTTTTTTTTTTTAAGATTTTATTTATTTATTTGTCAGAGAGAGACAGCATAAGCAGGGGGAGCGGCAGGCAGAGGGAGAAGCAGGCTCCCCGCTGAGCAAGGAGCCTGATGTGGGACTCAGTCCCAGGACCCTGGGATTATGACCTGAACCAAAGGCAGATGGTTAACCGACTGAGCCACCCAGGCGTCCCTCAAAAAACTTTTATAATGCTGTTGCCTAACATCAATCTAATTTCCCAACTTTGTTTTCAACTATGGCACCAATGAAAACTTCTTGATCTGTATTCTGTTCTCCTCACTGCCTTAGCCTCTCCCTTCCACTCTCCCGTATTTTATGCCACCTCCTCATGCCATCCCCCATTAGAAAGGCTTACCTTTACCTGTACAAAAGCACAGTTCAAGTCCTACCTCTTTCTGGAAATAGGCCAGAAGAATCACTTCCTCTTCTGAGTTTCATCAGCCCTCCTCGGCCCACTAATTTGGAGCCTATTACTGTACAGTAATAAGAGCCACCTTTTTGAATATGAATTTTATCTTCTCAATTTAAGTCTAAGTTAGGTGGCTTGAGGACGGGGCCATGGGTGTTCTTACCTCCCATTGCATCTAATATTATGCTCCACATACAAAACACACTCTGTAGATCTGTTGCCTCACTGCACACAATGCCAAATTTATTTCTTAAATATGCAGATTTCCAGCATTGTACTGACCTTGACAGCAGCACAATCTCTGATATCATAATCCTGCTGAAACTCATTTTCCATGAGAATAGTAGACACCTTAAAAAACAAGAGAGGCTTGAGAACTTAAGACTGATGTACAAGTATCTGCAATTTAGATGTAATTTAGGCAGCTTTAATAACTCAAACACATTCACATGCCAAAGAAGGAAAACTTTTTCATCTTTTTTTAAATATCAGGATGTTAAATCATGAGATAACTTAGAAAATATACTGTCATCAGTTTCCAAACAAAGGAAGCTACAGTTCCAGAAGTGGAGGTTAATACTGTATTAAGTTTGCAGCTGGAAATCACAGAGAATAAGGAGCTTTCAAAAGACCTTTTTTTGGGCATGTGTTGAAATGCTAGTTATTCAATTAACTAATTTCAGATATGCTCCCATTTGAAAATGAAAGTCAAGAAATTTTACATTTGGAAGAATATATGATGAACTGACACAATGGTAATGTGGAGTAAATATTTAATAAATTTGAGAATAATTTGCTCCTATAAGTGTTACCTACCTTTATGTAACTCTTATATTTTTAGATAATAAAAGTAAAAGCTTCTCATTATGAGAAAAGGAAATAAAAAACAGCACAAAGAAAAAGAAAAAAAAACTTTACTATCCAAAGATGACCACTATATCTATATATCCATATTTTTATGTTTTTAGGACTATAGAGAAACTATCTGTATGGTTATTTTTTAATCTTTAAAAAATATTTATTTATTTATTTATGGTTATTTTTAATTTTTATTTTTTTAAAGATTATTTATTTATTTATTTGACAGAGAGAGACACGAAGAAAGAGAGGAAACACAAGTAGGGGGAATGGGAGAAGGAGAAGCAGGCTTTCTGCTGAGCAGGGAGCCCGATGAGGGGCTCAATCCCAGGACTCTGGGATCATGACCTGAGCAGAAGGCAGACGCCTAACGACTGAGCCACCCAGGCGCTCCATGATTATTTTTTTAAATAAAAGTGAGGCTAGTATCTTTTTTTCCTCACTTTATATATGTCAATGCATTTCCATTTCAATAAAGATACTTCTTCATAATTTTAATGGTTATATAGGATGTGGATGTATTATTTAACAATCAACTTACTTGATATGGAAACAAAAAATCCCTTTACATTATTCCAAACAAGAAAATTTAAACTTACTGGTGTATGGTCACTCCACTCCCAGGATCCTAGTAAATCAAATTTAAACTTACTGGTGTATGATCACTCCACTCCCAAGATCCTAGTAAATCTGGGCTCCTTTTATTCAAACCTATCCACAGCCAACGCTGGTCACTATGTAAAAAGGAAGTATTAAAAAACGATTTGAGCACAGATTTGGCAAAAATATATAGCATTCACATGTCTAAAATGCTTAAGACATATGTTTGTCTTGTCACTAACTGAAAAGCACAATTTCAAGTTCTATAAAAAAGAGGTCTTCTGAAATAAAACTGAACTTTAAATATGAAGTAGCTATGGAAAAAGTACCATACTTCTTAGAACTAAGTTTTCAGTTATGTTCTTCATATGAAAGGTAAAAACTATTCTGCTTTGAACTTGAGGGGGAAAAAGTGCATGATTATTCTAAATCTTTTAATGGAGAGCTTCAATATTAGACAATGTTTTCGATACAAAGATAGCAACGGCATTTTCTTGAAGTGTCTATCTATAACACAATCAAGTATCTTTTTTTTAATGCAGAACAAATCATTTGGCTAAATTTTTATTAAACAAGATCAAGATTTTTAAAAAATTATTTAATCCCCACTGCCCATTAAGTTTAAAGTAAACAAATATAAGTATTTTTTTTTAAAGATACTATTTTTAAGTAATCTCTACACCCAATGTGGGACTTAAACTCACAACCCTAAGATCAAGAGTCACATGCTCTACCGTCCAAGCCAGTCAACTGCCCCCCGCCCATTTTCTTAAAGAATAAGTATCTTCTAAAAGCCAAACTCCGTGGGTTACACCAGAACAACATAATTAAACAGTCATTTAAGTGATTATATTTAACACTCATAACTATTATACTTCTATGTACAAGGCATTGAGCTAGGTGCCATCGTAATACAGAGAAGTACAAGACGTAATATCTATCTTCAAACGGCATAGGGAGACAAGATATACATGAACAAGGAAATAACCATTTTGGAAAGATATCAAATGATACAAAATCTGCATAAATTTTAAGCATTACAAAAATTTAGAGAAAGAAGGTCATTGTGGACTGCAGGAAGTCAGGAAACATTTTGTGAGATTAGTAGGACAAAAGACAGTCTTCAAAGGATGGCTAATATTTCTTAGAGTAAAATCTGAGTGTTTAACACTCAATATTCAGATTGACTGAGAGGAGAAAGGATAGACATTTCAAGGAAGGATATGTACAATAACATACAGAAGCAGGGACATATATTGTAAATATCCCTTTTCCTCAATTAAACTTATTCTTTAGCTAGGAAGATACTGCTAATAAAAATAGAAGTAATGTAGCCATAAAAACATTTTCTTCACCTCTAACCCCATTTGAAAATATTCTCTAAAATGGGTTACACTTTTTAGGCTTTTTAAAAAATTTATTATTATGTTCAATTAGCCAGCATATAGTACATCATTAGTTTTTGATATAGTGTTCATTACTTTACTCATTACTTTTTTTTTTAAGATTTTATTTTATTTATTTATTTGACAGAGAGAGAGAGAGCAAGAGAGGGAACACAAGCAGGGGGAGTGGGAGAGACTGAGCAGGGAGCCTGATGAGGGGCTCGATCCTAGGACCCTGGGATCACAACCCGAGCCGAAGGCAGACGCTTAACGACTAAGCCACCCAGGTGCCCCCAACGATTACTTTTTAAGTAGACTTTTAAGTAGACACTTTTTAAGTAGACTATTATCCATGTAATTTTTTTTTTTTTGGTGATGCTGATTACTTTCCATATAATTTAACCTTCTGATTGCATGTAGTATATATGGTCAGTACATATGAGTGTATATTATATATGCATAACTAGATACATATATAAATGTTACATGCATATAAATATAGCACATATTAGAGAAGGCATAGGATCCAAATCTAAAATTAATCCTTACTCTCAAGCTCAATATATGGAATGTTTAGCTGAAAAATGTAAGTCTGCCTTTCAAAAAATTTGCTAGTGAGTCAAAGCTAGAGCAAACTTAATTTTACTTCTTTAAAAAAATTTTTATTTATATACTTGTGAGAGAGAGAGAGCACAAGCAGCGGGGAGCGGGAAGGCAGAGGGAGAAGCAGACTCCCTGCTAAGCAGGGAGTCCAGTGCAGGACTTGATACCAAGACCCTGGGATCATGACCTGAGCTGAAGGCAGATGCGCAACCGACTGAGCCACACAGGCATCCCGAGCAAACTTAATTTTAAAGTAATTTCTCATGTTTTAATAAAATAATTGCTTTTCTTTACTTCTTCCCTCTACTCAACATTCCCCCATACTTTAATATAAATAAATACTTTCCATCTTTTCGGTCTTAAGCTTTTCAACTTATTGCAATGGAATATGAGGACTGTCCCCTTTCAGTCTTTATTGCTATACTGTTTTCTTTCACAGAAAAAGATTACCAATTTGTAGATTTCAGATAATCCAGTGGAGACAATTAAGTCCAGTTTGAATTTAACAGCTATAAGAGGAATTTGCAGTTTGTGTCTTCAACTATTCAGAGCTTTCTAACAGGCTTCCAAATTTATCATACTTCCCAACTGCTGAATTTTGAAACCACAGGGTCTAGATAAGTATAATTAAAGTCAGATAGGTAAAATAAAGAGGAGGAAAAGTTTGCTTCCTCGTTCCTTGGAGATGTAACTTTATTTCTTTCAAATTTTTGCACATAATATATTTGAGCCTGGGGAATTTGTGCACATTTTGTTTTTCCCTAAAATAAGCCTTAGATAGCCTATCTTCTTTTTACAATCAACAGTACAACCAGGAAGATGGTCAAAGATCATTTGTCACCTGCATTTACTCTATAGTCAGCTCCCACAGAGAGCCTCTTTAGAGATCTGTCTCTACCTTTCCACCCAGTCCTCTCTTCGCTCTACCTCTGCCCACTTAGAAACCTCTGCTCTCAAGCTCACTTCTGCCTCAGAAAATAGTTTCCCAGAAAACACAATTTGCTGCATTGTCCAAAATTTTTTAATCTTTACTACTTCCTGAGATTGAACTTCATTTCAACCCAGACATTTAGAGTTCTTAGCTTCTAATTCAAGAGATTCATTAGTGTGTTATAAATATAGAAAATAGTAGCTCTTGTGTTTTTTTTCTGTGTGTGGTAAGAGGTGGAAAATATTTCCTCAATTCTAACTTATTCCTGATTTGACCTGGTTTATCCGTAGGCAGATAAAGAGAAGAAGAAATTGAAAATCACATTAATCACTGCATATCTCCAATGTGGATTTAGAAAATTTGAGGGAGGGGAAAAAATGGATCATAACTGGAGAATTAAATCAAATGGAAAATTTCTCACTCTTTATAAATTTTTCTCCAACAAGCACTAAATATATGGTTTTAGGGTGTTAGGTTAAGAAGACACTGCACGAAAGGTTACTATGTCTATCTGTGTTAAAATTCCTGCTCTCAATCAAATTTCCCAGTGCATCTGGTTTCTAAGGAAAACAGTATCTCAGCTATAAACCCCAATAAATACTATTTGATGAGGGTGCTTAGTCTGCAAAGCCTTAGATTTATATCTAAATCCATTCATGCCACATCACAGGAGGTAGTACACATAGCAGCAACAGCATAGCAAACGAGGCTTTCTCCTTTAATCCTAAAACTGTTTTTGTTCTACAATGGCTTTCCCTGGTGGGCTGCCATTAAGAGATGCAAAGATCTTAGAGCTTTAATGACTTGGTACACCATGAATCCTTTTCATTGAAATACAAATAGAGATGTGGAACTTAGATTGAGAGAAGTATAGCAGTAATCTGACTTAATTCCTTGGCATGCAATACACAATTTGGGCAATGGACTTCTGAGAAAGGTCAATTCCTGCAATAAAAAGGTAAGGCCTTCAAGGAGTAAGCTTTAGAATCATTTTCTGATATAAATGGGTTTGTCTCCTTCCTTCCCTTCAAGCCATGGTTACAATATTGGTTTTAGAATATGTTGTCTTTCTAAGTAAAGTGTGGGCAAATGGTCTCATTATTAATGGAGCACATAGTAAGCAGACAACACAGGCTGCTTAATATGGCACATACCAGCTGCTGGGTTAAGAGTACTAAAATATGGTGTTTATGAATGAAAGGATTATGGTGATTTGTTTTTTCTTTGTGCTCTTCTGTTTTCTGAATTAAATATATATTTTTTGTGATCAGAAAAAAATTAAACACTGTTGTACATTCTTTGGAAAATAAACTATATGCATGGGAATGGAAGAAAATGGAAAGGATTTACATTAAATGCTAACTATGTTTATAACAGAGCTAGGACTTGAGGTGACTTTTATTTTTTTCATTATCACTTTTTTATTCCCCAAATCTTACATAATGAACTTGTATTAATTTTTTAATTGAAAGGAAACTCAGCAAGTGTGTTCAGAAACAAAGAAACAAATCAAGAAAAATTCCTTAATTACCTCTCACACTCCAGTGTTATTTTATAGTGTAATCTCTTCTGTATATAGAAGCTCTTAATGATCATTTATATCACATATGATATTCCATTTTCCATCAGTTGATTCCCACAAATATCTACAACCTCATTGCTTAGTACTTATCCATGGTTTCCTATTCCAGTTAAAGGTTTCTAACCTCTTGCTTGGTATTAGTTGAAATCCACTTTGTTTATGTCAATATTTCACTTAAAAATACTTTGGCCTAGACAGTATGATACTGTGTGTGTCAAGCTTGAGATCTAGGGGCCAGTAAGTTGCCTTCCTCAAAATTCTCACTTCAGGGAGGATCAGCAGGGTATTAGATGTTCCAGAGGCGGCCACCACAAGGATGTCTGTTATCCAAAGCCACACCTGAGGTTTTGGTTATTAGCAGAGAGAATATCAGAAATAGGTGTATATCAGCAAAATTAGAAGCTTGTTAATCAGCCTGAGGTTAGAAGTGGGCTCTCAATGGTGAAGTTGAAATTGTTTAAGATATGGGGTATAGCTAAAATATTTAGAGACACCCTCACCCTTCATGAAAGTTTATTTCTTTCTGGTGAGGCTGGTAGCCAGTACCATTAGAAATGGATCTGGGGCTTGATCTCTAAATCATCCCATGTCTAGTCACTGGGTGAGGTGATCGGAACTGCCCGATGCTAACTA